TATGTACAAACACTACTGAGGGAAACAGACTCAGTGTGGTGAAACAATGTGTTTTCATGTCTCACACACACACACACACACACACACACACACACACACGCTCTAGATAGTCGTTATGTCCACAGTGTTATCTAAAATATGTAATATTACGTTCCTTCAACAACTTTTTCTATATATTTAAACCCATGGAAATAAAATGATCCAGCTTCTTCTTTACATATATCACTCAATTGTTCAATGACAGGTCAGACTCGAAAACACAACCGTCGACCATCGCTGTGTCATGCCACCAACTGTCAAATACTTACGAATTTTCAGCGTGTTTTTAATCATACAATCAGAGTACAATCAAATAAGTTACTGATAATTCATTAGTTATTATAAATCACCTGCCACAAAGTGTTTTCAAGCTCAACAATTGCAGCTGGATGTACATTTGTACAAGCAAACCACCCATAAGGATATACCCGGCATACATATATCTTAACTCTATTATTCAGATGATTAGGACTGGAAAAGACAAACCTTCATATTGCAGAGACATATGAGAAACTGAGCACCACAAATCCTCATTAGCCCAAAAAAAGTGTTGCTCCAAGGCATGCAGTGATACATGACACTAAAGGAACAAAACAAGTAAAAAATAATATGTGCTTGCACAAGTTAAAAAAACAAACAAAAACTTTTAGATTAAAAAAGCGCCCTTAATAACTTACAAAGAAAACTCAGTGTTACAACTAAAGACACAAAATAGTCGCCGAAATTGTATTGTTGGGAAAGAAAGTTTGACGTTTCAAATTGTAGAAGGACTTTGTGTTATCCAACACGCGGTCACACTGACACAATGAACTGATCTGACATAATTTCAATGTCTTACTTCTACTGCTAAGACTGACTGAGGCGCTGTCCGTGGTGCTGAAGTGAGAAAGAAAAAAAAAGAATCACACTGAAGCTGTCAGTTCTCGAAGACTAAACGTATTTTCTGTACTAGAATCACGTTATTTTCGTAACGCTTAGTTACCAATTACACTAACAAGCCCACATAATTCCTTGAATTTCCGTAGTACAACTTGTTAAACACAAATCTGTAAAATATTACTAATATTAACTATAATAACAGTAAGAAGAAGAGGAAGAAGAAAAAGGAGGTGTTTAAAAAATGCCACTGTCAGAGGTGCAACAAGAGCTCACATGAAATACTTCTGCTGTGAGGCGCTGCTGCTCAAAACTAAAGGATTATGTGGTTGCCGATAAAACACAAATATAACTACATCATTATTTCTAGAAAACTAACCTCTAGAGGAGAGTCAGGTTCATCCAGGATGCTCTTGTCACTCTGTATCCGCTGCATCGTCCCTGTAGAACTGGGGTCCATTATCAGCACGTTCTGACTACCGGCTCTGCCGAACTTACAGTCACTCTTTCTGGAGTCTGTCGTCCTGCACACCTCGTAATTGTACACGTGTTGGAGAGTCCCTGTCCCCAAAGTGTCTGAGTAACGTGGTGGATAATATGGAATGACAGGGAGACTGGAGTGATACAGGATGCGAGACTGTCTCCATCTGTAGATTTTCACTGATATAATAACCACCAAACACGTGATGAAGAGGAAGGAAACTACAGCCAAAGCCAAGACTAAGTAAAAAGTCAGGTTGTCATTGTACTCCTTGTCGTGTGCAAAGTCAGTGAACTCAGACAGCACTTCAGGGAAGCTGTCCGCCACCGCCACGTTAACAATGACTGTAGCTGAACGAGAGGGCTGCCCGTTGTCCTCCACTATAACACTCAGTCTTTGTTTGACAGCATCTTTATCAGTCACTTGGCGGATAGTTCTTATTTCTCCATTCTGTAAGCCCACTTCAAACAGCGCCCTGTCTGTGGCTTTCTGCAGTTTATAGGACAGCCAGGCATTCTGTCCAGAGTCCACATCAACAGCCACCACTTTAGTCACCAGATAGCCCACATCTGCTGAACGAGGCACCATTTCAGCCACCACAGAGCCACCAGTCTGCACTGGGTACAGCACCTGAGGAGGGTTGTCGTTCTGGTCCTGGATCAGTATTTTCACACTCACGTTGCTACTGAGTGGAGGGGAGCCTCCATCCTGCGCTTTGACGCGGAAGTGGAAGTCTTTGATCTGCTCGTAGTCAAAAGAGCGCACTGCATGGATGACTCCACTATCAGCACTGACGGACACATATGAGGAGACTGGCACTCCGTTAACAGAGGAGTCCTCCAGTATGTAAGAAACACGGGCATTCTGGTTCCAGTCAGCGTCTCTGGCTTTCACTGTGAATATAGAGAGGCCTGGTGTGTTGTTTTCTACAATGTAGGCCTCATATGAGCTCCTCTCAAAGACAGGCGCGTTATCATTCACATCAGAGATCTGTAAGGTGAGAGTGACGCTGCTGGAGAGGGAGGGCACTCCCTCATCAGAACACGTCACTGTTATATTATACTCAGAGGATCTCTCTCTGTCCAGATCACTGTCTGTCACTAAACTATAGAAATTATTTGTTGATGTTTTTAAAATGAATGGCACATTGTCGCTGATAAAACATTGCACTTTACCGTTTTCTCCAGTGTCCTTGTCCTCTATATTTATCATTGTAACCACTGTATTGAGTTTGGCATCCTCTGATATCACATTTGACTTTGACATTATCTTAATTTCAGGCGTGTTGTCATTTACATCTTGAACATCGACAATTAACTTACAAGAATCTGTGAGTCCTCCGTCGTCACTAGCACGTACATTTATTCGAAAATTTCGCGACTCCTCAAAGTCAATATTGCCAATCAAAGTAACTTCACCACTGTCCTTGTTTATCTTAAACACTTTCCTGACGTCATCGAATGTATTTGTGATTGAATATATGATTTTACCATTAGAACCTTGATCTGCATCTGAGGCTGTAACAGTGGCAACAACTGTTCCTTTAGGTGAGTTCTCAGTAACTGTAGCTTTGTATGTTGGCTGTGTAAAAACGGGGGCATTATCATTGACGTCTAAAACTGTAATAACAATCAGCATTGTTCCTGACATCTGCGGCTCTCCTCCATCTACAGCCGTCAACACGAGAGAGATCTGCTCCTGTTTCTCTCTGTCTAAAGGCTTCTGTAACACCATCTCAACATTTTTATGACCATCAGCGTTACTGTGGACTTTAAGAGCAAAATTATCTGTTGGTTTTAATTCGTATGTTTGAAGATCATTATTTCCAACATCATGATCCTCAGCTCTTTCCAGCTCAAATTTTGCACCGATCACTGCTGACTCACTGATTTTGAATTCAATTTCTCCTTCCTCAAACGTTGGTGCATTATCATTAATATCTGTGATCTGGACTGTCACACTGTAAAACTCCATAGGATTCTCCAAAATAATCTGAAAATGTAAAGCACAAGGCGTCGTCTGTCTGCAGAGCGCCTCTCTGTCGATCCTCTCTTTAACAAGGAGGACTCCTCTTTCTCTGTTCAGCTCGATGTACTCGTCGCTGTCTCCGGTAAAAATTCGAGCTTTACCAGCAGTTAATCGTTTGGTTTCTAAACCTAAATCTTGTGCTATATTACCGACCAAAGAGCCTTTCGACATTTCCTCCGGTATTGTGTAACTGACCTGCCCAAGTACGGAGCCGAGCGAAAGGAGAGAGATGAACAACAGCGCCTGTCCTTTCATTGTTCTACCCGAGTGTGTTCTCAGCAAAGCTTCCACAGTCCGGTTATATATCCCATAAACTGAAATCCATTCCAGTTTCAAACATCAATCTCCCAGCTGTATAATCCACACAGTGAAAAGATCTGTCTCGGATATCTTCGTGTCGATTATCAGATATTTCATATATCCCGAAAGTGCGTCCTTTCCCGTCGTGTTCTCTCTTCATTATGGTGATGTTACAGGGGAGGTGCTGCTACAAACCTACCCTCAGCCGTGCACACTCTGGTCAACAGCGGCCCTAAGAGTTCATAATACAAAACTGCAGACAACCAACATGAGCTTATCTGTCCAGAAGCTTACTGTTATACAAGTATATCTTGAAATGAGGTAACAAAAGCCGTATAAATACTACTATAATCTGCGCAAAAGTAAGTCGACACTTCAACAAAGATTGTGTTCTCTTACTATTGCTTTTATCTTCAGCCATAATAATGTGTTTATAAAACATGACCCACATGTGACTACAAGCACAAAGAGAAAAAACTCAAATAATTTAGAAAATAATAAGGAAAGTACTACTAAAAGATTGAAGTGATACAAAAGGAAAATGGAGAAGAAAAAGAGCTGAGTCTACAAAAGTCACTGTCCGAGGTCCTGAACTGATAACGAGGCTAAAACCGGCCAACAGGACGGATTGTCACAAGTCCTTAAACGCAGATAAAAATATTGCTAAATTCAACCTAAGAAAATAAAGCGTGAACTGATGTTAAAATACATTCGTTGTCTTTATGAATCAATGTGTTTAACAATAAGTCAGTAAATACTTGGGTTGTATGCTCAGAATGCATTAACATAAAATTATCTAAATACCTAAATAGTTCATAAGATATTGATTTAAAAACCCTAACCAAAACTCATCCAAAAGCCAGATGACTGACTCAACGCAAGATTACCGACAAAAAGGATCAATAAAACATTTAAAGTAGAAATTAAGTTCGATAGAACTATTAAGTGAAACAGGTAGGTAATGGATAGAAATGGGAGTTCAAACATGCCGTACCCCATTATTTGTTACATAAAGCCAAACAAGGTGTGCTATTAAAGCGGTCTGTACGTATATGGTTAAACAGTTTAACCCTTAAAAACAAATAGCAGTCTGCTTTAACATACAATGCAACTAAGTCACAGGAAAGTGCATGTGGAATACTGTAACAATCTATCACTGAATGATACTGTAGGTAATGGAAAGCTGTCCATGGTTCTGAAACTGCGGAAATAGCGTTCAACAATTTTCTAACAATGCAACTAAACACTGAAAGAACATGACGGCACAAACACGAGGCTACAATATTAAACTAACCTCTAGAGGAGAGTCAGGTTCATCCAGGATGCTCTTGTCACTCTGTAGCCGCTGCATCGTCCCTGTAGAACTGGGGTCCATTATCAGCACGTTCTGACTACCGGCTCTGCCGAACTTACAGTCACTCTTTCTGGAGTCTGTCGTCCTGCACACCTCGTAATTGTACACGTGTTGGAGAGTCCCTGTCCCCAAAGTGTCTGAGTAACGTGGTGGATAATATGGAATGACAGGGAGACTGGAGTGATACAGGATGCGAGACTGTCTCCATCTGTAGATTTTCACTGATATAATAACCACCAAACACGTGATGAAGAGGAAGGAAACTACAGCCAAAGCCAAGACTAAGTAAAAAGTCAGGTTGTCATTGTACTCCTTGTCGTGTGCAAAGTCAGTGAACTCAGACAGCACTTCAGGGAAGCTGTCCGCCACCGCCACGTTAACAATGACTGTAGCTGAACGAGAGGGCTGCCCGTTGTCCTCCACTATAACACTCAGTCTTTGTTTGACAGCATCTTTATCAGTCACTTGGCGGATAGTTCTTATTTCTCCATTCTGTAAGCCCACTTCAAACAGCGCCCTGTCTGTGGCTTTCTGCAGTTTATAGGACAGCCAGGCATTCTGTCCAGAGTCCACATCAACAGCCACCACTTTAGTCACCAGATAGCCCACATCTGCTGAACGAGGCACCATTTCAGCCACCACAGAGCCACCAGTCTGCACTGGGTACAGCACCTGAGGAGGGTTGTCGTTCTGGTCCTGGATCAGTATCTTCACAGTCGCATTGCTGCTGAGTGGAGGGGAGCCTCCATCCTGAGCTCTGACAGTGAATACGAGCTGCTTGATCTGTTCATAATCAAAAGAGCGCACTGCATGTAGAAGTCCAGTTTCAGAGTTTATGGAGACATAAGAAGAAACTGGGCTGCCACTGACCTGCGTGTCCTCTAGAAAATATGAGATTCTCGCATTTTGATTCCAGTCAGAATCTCGTGCACTCACGCTGAATATTGACATCCCAGGGACATTATTTTCAATGATATAGGCAGAATAATTTGGTTCATTAAAGAGCGGAGCATTGTCATTTACATCAGATATTTTCAGGTGTAAAGTTGTTTCAGTAGAGAGTGGGGGTGACCCTGAATCAGTTGCAGTTATGGTTATGTTATATTCTGGCATTGTTTCACGATCAAAAGGTACATCTGAGAGCAAACTGTAATAATTAGTCAAAGAAGTCTGGATTTTAAAAGGGAGGTGAGAATCTATCGAGCACCTTATCAGTCCATTTCTTTCAGAGTCTGCATCTTTAACATTAAAAACAGCTATAGTCGTGCCTGGATGGACATCCTCTGAAATCAGACTGGAGAAAGACATTATATTTATAACTGGAGCATTATCATTTATGTCGGTGACCTCAATGACAACTTTGGTTGCGTCACTCAGGCCACCTTGGTCTTTCGCGATCACTCTTATTTCATATTTTTTGTCTTTTTCGAAATCAATATTATCAGCCACAGTTATTTTGCCAGATAAACTGTCAATTTCAAATTTTTCGCCGGAGCTTCCCTTTAGGTTAGAAAAAGTATATGTGACCAAGCCGTTAGACCCACTGTCTGCATCTGAAGCATTCACAGTAGTTATGTATGTGCCTATGGGTGCATTTTCTGTCACAGTAGCAGTGTACAGTGTTTGATTAAATACAGGAGGATTATCATTTACATCAAGAACAGTGATCTCTACATTTACTGTACCAGATCGCTGTGGAGTTCCTCCGTCTACTGCAATCAGCTTTAAAGAGAGATGTGGATTTAGCTCTCTGTCTAATGGCTTCTGTAAAATCATCACGGCGAATTTGATGCCATCAGCGTTAGAGTGTTGCTTCAAAACGAAATTACCATTAGGGGATAAAACATATTTTTGCAAGGTGTGAATCCCTGCATCGGGGTCATAGGCGCTCTCCAAGTCGAAATGAGAGCCTATTGTTGCAGATTCGCTTATTTCTAGATTAATGACATCATTTTTGAAGGTTGGCGCATGGTCATTCACGTCTAATATTTCTACAGTCACCCTGTGCAGTTCAATTGGGTTTTCCAAAATGATTTCAAAGCTGAAGCTACACGGTGTTAAGTCTCCACAAAGCTCCTCTCGGTCAATTCTCTCATTCACCACTAGAATCCCTTTGTCTGTTTTTAGCTCAGTATACTGGTTGTTTTCTCCGGTCACGATACGGGCCCGCCCAGAACGGAGCCTCCTCAGATCTAAACCAAGATCCTGTGCTACATTACCGATAAGAGAGCCTTTCTTCATCTCCTCTGGGATTGAATAACGGATCTGACCGTTGATAGTGGAAATCATGAAGACAAAAATGAGCAGTTGCCATGTAAGTGTCCAACACATCAGCCATTTTCCGCATCGGTGCTGGCGTATCCCCATGTCGTTAGGAGTAAAATCCCGAATGAAACTGCAAATTATAATCCAACAGCCACACACGTAGACGCAAACTACAGTCCAGTTCAACAGTGCTGCATTCCTGTGGAGCAGAATTGTTCGGTAATTATCAAACAAAAAGTGTTCTTTCAAAGCGACTGTGTTTCCGTCGAACGCCTCTTTGTATGAAAGACTGTGTTTCTCCCTCTACTCTTTCTCTCCTCCTCTCTCCTGACAGTCCTAACAACATCAGACTCTGTTTCACTGATCAACAGCGTCCCTTAGAGTCCAAACGGAGGAAAGAACCGGATCAGATGCATTTGGAATAAAAGGAAAATGTTTTCCAAGCAATCTAATGTAAAAACTGACAGCAATATAAAATAACATAAAATGACAAATTAAAATAAAATAAGATAAATAATAGATTGGATATCTCAGCCCAAGATGTTAAATCAGATCACACACTTCACACATAATCAAACCACAGACAGAAGGCCAGCGAGTAAACCAGTCATAATGTGTGGAGCTGTCCAACACTGCAGTTCTGAAACTATGAAAAGCGGTTGATCGTTTAAAGATTAAATCCTGCCTATGGTTAGAAAGTAACATATAGAGAGGTAAAAGAAGAACGTCAATTACAACAGAAAATGAGCTCATCAGACCTCTAAGGAAGATTCAGCAAAAGTTATCAGTCGGTTCTCACACAAAGCACAACTTCATCAAAGTAGTGTGGAAAAATGATAATGCATATCATTGTTTCAGAATCGAGATGATATCTTTATGAAGGTTTAAAAATGAATGCAGAAAAAGTGGTTAAAAGTGTGACACTGTCCATGGTCCTGAAAATGAGGGTCTCGCGCGCAACAGTTTACTATCGATTTTACGAAACACAGAGGGAACATTAAAGGTACAGAGACGGAGCTATGTTATTTAACTAACCTCTAGAGGAGAGTCAGGTTCATCCAGGATGCTCTTGTCACTCTGTATCCGCTGCATCGTCCCTGTAGAACTGGGGTCCATTATCAGCACGTTCTGACTACCGGCTCTGCCGAACTTACAGTCACTCTTTCTGGAGTCTGTCGTCCTGCACACCTCGTAATTGTACACGTGATGGAGAGTCCCTGTCCCCAAAGTGTCTGAGTAACGTGGTGGATAATATGGAATGACAGGGAGACTGGAGTGATACAGGATGCGAGACTGTCTCCATCTGTAGATTTTCACTGATATAATAACCACCAAACACGTGATGAAGAGGAAGGAAACTACAGCCAAAGCCAAGACTAAGTAAAAAGTCAGGTTGTCATTGTACTCCTTGTCGTGTGAAAAGTCAGTGAACTCAGACAGCACTTCAGGGAAGCTGTCCGCCACCGCCACGTTAACAATGACTGTAGCTGAACGAGAGGGCTGCCCGTTGTCCTCCACTATAACACTCAGTCTTTGTTTGACAGCATCTTTATCAGTCACTTGGCGGATAGTTCTTATTTCTCCATTCTGTAAGCCCACTTCAAACAGCGCCCTGTCTGTGGCTTTCTGCAGTTTATAGGACAGCCAGGCATTCTGTCCAGAGTCCACATCAACAGCCACCACTTTAGTCACCAGATAGCCCACATCTGCTGAACGAGGCACCATTTCAGCCACCACAGAGCCACCAGTCTGCACTGGGTACAGCACCTGAGGAGGGTTGTCGTTCTGGTCCTGGATCAGTAAATTCACACTCACGTTGCCACTGAGTGGAGGGGAGCCTCCATCCTGCGCTCTGACTACAAGCTGAAATTCTTTAATCTGTTCATAGTCAAACGACCTCACTGCATGAATAGCACCAGTTTCAGAGTTTATGGAGACGTAAGAGGAGGTTGGACTTCCATTAATCTGTGTTTCTTCGAGAAAATACGATATTCTAGCGTTTTGATTCCAGTCAATATCCTTGGCTTTGACGGAAAATATGGATACACCAGGGGCATTATTTTATGTAACGTGAGCGACGTAGCTAATTTTACTAAATACTGGGGCATTGTCATTCAAATCAGATATTCTCAGACGTAATATTGTTGTGCTTGACAAGGGTGGCGATCCCGAATCGGTGGCCCTTACAGTTATGTTATACTCCGGTATAACTTCTCTGTCAAAAGCTGCGTCTGTTACTAATGCATAGTAATTAGATAAAGTTGATTTAATTTTAAATGGGAGGCTACTGTCAGTTGTACAAACAATATGACCATTATAATCTGAGTCTGCGTCAATCACATTAATTATTGCCACTGTGGTGCCCGAGGCAGAATCCTCCGGCACCGGGCTGGAGAATGACATCACATTTATGACAGGTGCATTATCATTGACGTCTACAATCTCAATTAGCACCTTACTTGAATCGGTAAGACATCCATGGTCCATAGCTTCAATCATAAATTCATATTTAATATCTTTTTCATAATCTACTTGACCGGCAAGTGTTATGATCCCTGTAATTTCGTCTAAATGAAATATATCAGCAAGCTGCTATTTAATGTTTGAAAATCGATATATAAAAAAACCATTTGATCCGCTGTCTGCATCAATTGCATTCACTGTAATAATATAGGTGCCTTTTAATGCATTATCAAAAACAGTAGCTCTGTAAAGAGACTGGTTAAAAATGGGAGGATTATCATTAGCATCAAGCACTGTAATATCTATATTTACTGTACCAGATCTCGGGGGAGTTCCACCGTCAACAGCGATGAGTTTCAGTAATATCCGTGGCTCGCTTTCTCTATCTAACGGTTTTTGTAAAATCATCTCAGCATATTTTCTACCATCTGGACTGGAGTGCTGCTTCAAACCAAAAATAACATAAGTAGTCAGTATGTATTTCTGTAGACCGTTAATACCTACATCTGCGTCTTCAGCACTAGGTAAAAAAAAGCGAGATCCCAGTGTGGAAGATTCGCTTATTTCAAATATAATTTCATCATTAATAAACGTCGGGGAATTGTCATTTATGTCAGTTATTTCAACCGTTAAAAGGTGTAGCTCCATGGGATTTTCTAAAATCACCTCAAAGCTGAAGCTACACGGTGTTACGTCTCCACAAAGCTGCTCTCGGTCTATTCTCTCATTCACGACTAAAACGCCTTTGTCTGTCTTCAGCTCGGTGTAATGGATGCTTTGTCTAGTCACGATACGGGCACGGCCAGAACGGAGCCGTTGCACATCCAGACCAAGATCCTGAGCCACGTTACCGATGAGAGATCCCTTTTTCAGCTCCTCCGGAATTGTATACCTGATTTGGCCAGACGCGATGTGACTGAGACAGCAAAAAAACAGCAGAAACGGCCATATTGACCTGTAATACACACGCCATTTTTAGCAAGGAGATTTTTCAAACGCCATAACATCAAAAGGAAAAGGTGATACCTGCAGCCTGCTGCATATAATCCACAGAAAACAAAGCAGCTGATCAAGTAATCCTTTGATTTTGAAGTCCTCGCTAAGAATGAAATCGCGGTCGTCATCCTGCTTATGAAGCACAGCCTCTCCCCTCTCCAGGCTAAAAGGAAAAATGAGGGCTCTGCCTCCACTGAGTCAACTCTGAACACTTGTTTCACTGATCAACAGCGTCCCTTACTGTCCAAAACATGAATATCATGAACACAGGAAAGAAAGAGGAAGAGGAAAAAAATATTTTTCCAAGAACTTCGGTGTAAAGGAGTTACATTTGTAGATGAGAACGGCATCACTGTAATCTATTCATAGAGTACAGGAAATCCAAAACCATGTCTAGTTTGTGTATTATTATCATTATTACTATTATTACTATTACGATTACTATTACTATTATAATTATCATTATCATTATCATTGTTATTTTTACTACTACTGCTCTTACTCAAACCTTAGTCTCCCTGAATCTGCCTGAACTTACATTGAACCATAAAACAAGTGTGAAAATGTATCTATAACAGTTCTGATAAACGCTGACATTAAGTACACACACTTTAAGACAACTGCAAGTTTATGCGGGTGAATTGAGCAGCAACTCACACAGAACAGTTCACCGCCAGTCAGTGGAGCTGTCCACGAGTTGTGGTTCTGAAAATGCCTCATGAGTTACCAAATACAAGTGAAACCAAAGGTCACCCACTCTGTAGTATGACCCCTGAGAAAGCACAAACAATGGGTGAAGGTCAATATGTCAAAGGCCTCACCTCTAGAGGAGAGTCAGGTTCATCCAGAATGCTCTTGTCACTCTGAATCCGCTGCATCGTCCCTGTAGAACTGGGGTCCATTATCAGCACGTTCTGACTACCGGCTCTGCCGAACTTACAGTCACTCTTTCTGGAGTCTGTCGTCCTGCACACCTCGTAATTGTACACGTGTTGGAGAGTCCCTGTCCCCAAAGTGTCTGAGTAACGTGGTGGATAATATGGAATGACAGGGAGACTGGAGTGATACAGGATGCGAGACTGTCTCCATCTGTAGATTTTCACTGATATAATAACCACCAAACACGTGATGAAGAGGAAGGAAACTACAGCCAAAGCCAAGACTAAGTAAAAAGTCAGGTTGTCATTGTACTCCTTGTCGTGTGAAAAGTCAGTGAACTCAGACAGCACTTCAGGGAAGCTGTCCGCCACCGCCACGTTAACAATGACTGTAGCTGAACGAGAGGGCTGCCCGTTGTCCTCCACTATAACACTCAGTCTTTGTTTGACAGCATCTTTATCAGTCACTTGGCGGATAGTTCTTATTTCTCCATTCTGTAAGCCCACTTCAAACAGCGCCCTGTCTGTGGCTTTCTGCAGTTTATAGGACAGCCAGGCATTCTGTCCAGAGTCCACATCAACAGCCACCACTTTAGTCACCAGATAGCCCACATCTGCTGAACGAGGCACCATTTCAGCCACCACAGAACCACCAGTCTGCACTGGGTACAGCACCTGAGGAGGGTTGTCGTTCTGATCACGAATATTTAATTTAACTGTGGTATTGCTGCTTAAAGGCGGGGAGCCTCCATCCTGCCCTTTAACAAAAATATTTAGAGTTTTAATTTGCTCATAATCAAATGACCTAACTGCCTGTATAACTCCAGTTTCTGCGTTAACGGATAAGTAAGTGGATATGGGGTTTCCGTTTAACTCAGTATCTATAAGCAGGTAAGACACTCGTGCGTTTTGCCCTGAATCAGAGTCGTGTGCTTTCACGGAAAACACAGATAAGCCTGGGGAGTTATTCTCCATTATATTAGCTTCATAATAACTCTGTTCAAATATGGGAGCATTATCATTGACGTC